GGGGGGAACAAACTCTTTGAACCTTTGCTTGCCTTTGGGTTTTTCTATGCTGCTTCAATGATGAACCAAAGAAATTCTCCCACCAGCATGAATCTAAGGCAGAAAATTTATCAGCATAGCAGAAGGGTCGAGTTCTAGGCCAAGCTAATAACAATAAACATTAGGCACATTAACTGCAGAATATCTGGGTTATTTTTGAGTATGTTAAAACTTTGGAGTTCATACAACTAGCAGAAAATAGAGGAAGGAAGAGGGTGATTGCCTATGACCAGAATTACAAAAAAAATCCCAGTATTGCTTTTTAGTTGTTTTCCGCATAGCACCTGGCGTTGTAACATAAAGGATCAAATATTTATTTTCCTCATACTTTTTCCTGTGTGCTAATGGCGGTGCAAGGCTGTTTCTCATAAAAGAAATGGAGATTTTGTCCTGCGTGCTTCTCATCTGTACAGAAGGTGAAACTGAACTGAATGTAGTATTTCCATTCCCCTGCTTTTAAAAAGAGAACTCATGTCAGGGGAGAAAACAAAAATCTAGCACAATTGTCAGAAATGCCCCGCTTTCTCCTCTTGGTTTTAATCCAACTGAAATGCTAGAACTCTTACATCAACCCCGGACAAGGGTTTGTCAAAAGATGGTTTTCATTACCTCTTCCTTTTCCAGCTCAAAGGGAAGTGCAACTTGTGAATCACAGAGAGGGCAGAGAACAAAAAAACACCCTGCTTTAGCCTTCTCCCCCCGCCCACCCACACACTCAAAATGTGGCTTGTGCATTTGTGCATTGCAGTGCTCTCCCTCCTACTACATGTACCTGGAAAATTACGATTCCTCCCCCCCCCCCCCAACGATATTTGAAGTGTGCTCTGCTTACTTCAGTGCTCTGCTTACACATCCCCGGCAGCATCTGCTGCAAACGGACTCCAAATATCAGCTGCTGCCTGAGACGTACTTCCTGTTTTTAGTATAGATGTTGGGCAATATTAACCTGCTTCCTTGTTGCTTTCTAAAACTCAAAATTGGTCAGAGACATGGAAACAATGACTCTCCAAGGATAGGAACTTACAAAACCACTTGCTTCTGGTAAATAAGACACTTCAACTTGGTGCAAACAGGGGCAAGAAGAGGAGCCAGGGAACTGTAGGGCAGTCTGTCCTGATGGGCTGTAATCTTTGGAGGTGAGGATTTGCTTGTCTTATTTTAAGCACTCACTGTACCATACCAAAATCCATGAAAGGGTAAACTGCTTCTAGCCTCACAACCAGGAGCTCTAGTAAGTGATTAGCTACTGCGAGATCATAAGCAGAGACTGAGAGTCCCTCCCCTCCACTCCCGGAATCTGATCGGCTGCTTCTTACAGAAGTCCCATTTTGAATTCAAGTGAGAATCCTGGAAGGAAGGAACTCCTAAGTTCTTGTCCCTCAGGCAGCACCTAGAAATGTTGCCAGGCTGTGAGGGTTGGCGTGGCACTCTTACTAAAATCTTTTTAACCCACACCCTTCAGGCAGAAGAATGCGTGCAAGAGTATCTGCTCACTCTTCTATCAGTGGCAGAAAAGAGGTCCTTAGGGTAGAATAAATGCCGAAGGCGGGGAAAGGAGTTCAAAAGGACAATGGAATGATTCAGGGTTTTCCTTCCCCTGCAGTCCATTTCATAAAGTTTGAAACATTCTGAAACAGGCTTAAAAGGATTGCTCCGTGATGTAACAACATGAAATGGATGGGTTGTGCTAAGCTTGTGATAAGACCTGTATGAAGTATTCCTAGAAACCACCATTTTGAATATATATGCATAAATATAACCCCATTTCATAAACCTTAGTAGTTTGAATATTCTACTGAGTATTGTACCAGAAACTGCCAAGGAATATGGTAGAGTATTTACATATATAACAGCAGCTATGATAGGATCATAATGGAAAGCAGAAGACTACCCAACAAAAGAAGTTTGGAAAAATAAACTAGGTGCATATGCAGCAATGGCAAAAACTAACTAGTTACATAAACAGAAGATTGGCTGAAGAATTTAATGATAAATGGAAAGCCTATTATATACAATTGACTTAATAGAGCTTGTAAATATATCATGGGCAAGTTATAACTTTAATACAAATGCTTAGTTGTTATTTAAATCAATTTAAAATGAATGGAAAATAAGTCAACATTAAGAATTACAAATTAGAATGATATAAGTTTCAATTAAGTACTAATTAACTGCTTGTAGAAGAGAACAATTACTGACTTTGTGAATTTTATATTATGTGTAATATTTGTGTTAAAAGTATTCTACTTTTTGATGAAAATAATACAAATATTTTACAAAAAAATCAACAGGTTTGTTGGATGTAAGCACAGTGAATGACGAAGCAAGTACACATATTCGTAGATTTCCTTTCAGTATAAAATATTCAACAAAGTTGAGTGCTTTTGTGCCTATCAGCTTAACTGATGTGTAGCATTACATTGTTTACCATAGCTCAGAAACTAAACTATGTTTCAGCTTCAACAAATTTTCCTGGGACCGCTTCTCTGCTTTTATTTTTCTGTTTCACAGAACCTAACTTGGGAGTCTCCTCCCATATCCAGGGTGAAGATAGAGATGGCTATAATTATATCAGATAGCACAGTGCCATAGTTAGTACAAGCCTACATTAAGCCCTGGTTTCTTGCTTTGCTGGCTGATCCTAAACCTTGGGTTATCGTGCCAAATCATAGCTAAAATCCCAGAACTGAGCCACAGTGTGTCTGCTCAGTCCCCAGTAGTTTCTAAAGAATGGGTTTTGCGGATTGTAATGTGACAACATGAGGGCAGTCCAGCAGCTTCTTAACTAAAGATTTGAGTGGGCTTGTCCCCTTCCTGAAACAGTGTCTGCACAAGATAGAGTTACTCAGCATCCTCCTTAAATTGGATTGGGTTGAGTGGGTGTGGTTAGGTTTAGTTTTTTAGTATGTGAATAGCTGTATGCTTCCCTGCTTGAGTGCTCACTGGCCAACCTACTGTGTGCTTGTTACTGTTTGGCTGCCCAGTCAGTCACCCATGTCAGTGGCCACTAAATTGTACCCAGGAGCAGGAGAACTTCACCACCCTACGATGTACCTTCGTCCACAGGGAGCAACCTCCTTCCGAGTCATGATTCCAAGCACTCTTCCTGCTCTATGACCTGGTTTCTTCAGGAGTCTCTGACAGATCCTCCAACTCCCAGATGACATTTGAGCATCCTTTGATCTCTGCACGGCTCTGTCAATCAACAGGGCCTTCTTAGTGCAAAATTTTGCCCACCTCTTTCAGTTGGTTGAGTGGTACCCCACATACCAAGCTGCAGCCTACATCAGCACATGGGGAGAGCCTGCAGCCCGGCCCTGCTCACTTTCAGCCATTACTTCAGTGTCAAGAACGGCTGCTTCTCTTGGCTCCGCTGGTCCAGCTACTGTCTGTGGATTCTCTTGAGGATGCTGAGCTCTGCCAGGCATGCAGCTTGGTTGTGGAGGAGAGTGGTGGTGTTGTCTTATGGAAGGACTCCTTTAGGGATTCTGCCCCCCTGTAGTGCAGGTCTTCATGGCTACTTACAGACAGGCAGGTGGGTAAATAAGTGCTGGAGCTCTCAGAATGCCCATAGCAGATGGGGATGTGCATGAGCAGAAGGTTTCTGGGTTCCACTTTCCCACCCACTCTGCCATGCAGAATGGGAGTGCTCCTTTCCTGGGACCAGGCTGGCTGGCTCTCCATATGCAGTGGACTGAGCAAGTGGGAGGAGGATGGATCACTAACCATAGAATAATCCTAACCCCAAATAATTCTGATCCTAATACTAACTCCCAAAATACTTTTCTAAGGCCCTTCCAAGGTGCTTCTCCCTTGAACGATAGAAAGTGAGAGGGGTGTTTCAGTGGTGGGACCCAGATTGTGGTATGGTTTCCCCAGAGAGACTCACCTGGGGCCAATGCAGTCTTTTTGGTGCTATGCAAAGATCTTTTTATTTTAGTCCTAGGAATCTCTGTCAGCGTATTTTTACATCTTTGCAATTCAGCTGGTTTTTATCTTGGTTTTCGACCTTGGTTTTATTGATTAATATATTGCATTTAATATATTTTATTTTATTGATGTATTCTAAGGTTTTATGTTTCATGAGGATTTTATTGTGTCTTACTACAAAATGGATCTTGACAGACTGTGGAAGTGGGCAGGGGATAACAGGATGGTGTTGAATGTGGAAAAGTGCAAGGTCTTGCACTTGGGGCATAGAAATGGGTGTCATAGGTACAGGTTAGGGGCAAGTGTCTGGAGAGCAGCACTTGTGAAAGGGATCTTGGGGTACTGGTTGACTGAAGGCTAAACATGAGTTAGCAGTGTGACACAGTGGTCAAGAGAGCGAATGCCATCCTTCGTTGCATAGCCAGCAGTGTGGCTTCTACACTGAGAGAGGTATTACTACCATTCTATATGACTGGTCCACCCACAACTGGAGTATTGTGTTCAGTTCTGGGCTTCACATTACAGGAGGGATATAGCCAGATTAGAGTCAGTGCAGCACAGGGCCACAAGGATGGTGACTGGATTGCAGGGGAAGCCGTATGAGGCAAGACTGAGGGAACTGGGTCTTTTCAGCCTGCAGAAGAGGGGGCTCTGAGGGGATCTGTTGGCGACATATGAGTATGTGAGGGAGTGTCACACAAAGGTGGGTAGAGACCTGTTCTCCCCTACAGAGGAGGGCATGATGCGTTCCAAGGGAGCAAAGCTCAGGGAACCAAGGTTCAATTTGGATGCCAGGAAGTACTTCCTGTCAGTTAGGACCCTGAGGGCATGGAATGGGCTTCCACAGGAGTGGTTGAAGCTCCATCGGAGAGGGTGTTCAAGGATAGGCTGACCATGCACATGGTAGGCATGTCATGAGCGGAGCCAGCTGGGCCGAGGGTGGCCCAGGAGGCTCCTTCTGACTTGCTCTGTTTCTGTGTTTCTACAAACTGCTTATTCATGCTGTGAACTAAATAAATATACTCCCACATCATGAATGGCAGATTTTGCTTGGTCCTATGATTCTGTTGCATTGCAGTGAAATTGCGTGCATGTTTACTCAAAAGCAAATTGTACCATGTTCAATAAGCCTGAGGGTGTGAAGGGATTCAAGTGCTACAAAATTGTTGCTTTTTGAGAATACAGAGTATCAGCTATATCTGTTTGATGGGCAGAATCATAGTGGAGAGTTAAAGAACATGCTTTGCATCTCAAGGTTCCAGTTTCAACCACTCAATTAAACAGTATTTGGTGGCAGGGTTGAGAAGGTCCTCTGTCCAAAACTCTACAGAATTGCTGCCCTTTGGAATTTGGCAATGAAGAAAGGGAACAACAGTCAGATTCCGTGCAAAACATCTCCTTATTGTCATATCTCTCTTTTTCTCATAGACTGGACGTGACAAGTATGAGCCTGCAGCTACATCTGAGCATGGAGCCAAGAAGCAAAAGGGGAAGAAAGATAGGGATATGGACGAACTGAAAAAAGAAGTTTCACTGGTAAGAGCCACCTTTGTCCTGGGGAGAGGTTCATCACATGAAGTTATATTTGGGGTGGAGTTGTCCTTTCAAGAATTCTTTTGTAAAATTTGTGTTCATACTCTCTTTATTCTTGCACATGTAGTTGCAAGTCTAGTGGATGTTATAGATCTGCAACTGCTTCCACAGCTTGGCCATCTTCAGATGTGTTGAACTATACCCCCCAACACTCAGCAGTATGTCCAGAATGGGCATTGTTATGTTAAGGCCACCCCCTTTCACAGTCCCTTTTTGGACCCATTCCGTGACAACTGCCAAAAAACCCTTTGAGAAGGTGGCTGAGATGGGATGAAGTGAATGGGGCCACATGGAGCAGGTAGTACATTAGATTCATCCAAGAGAGGACGCCTGGGAGTGATTATGTCAACCACGTGGGTCATTTCCATATTTCATAGTGCAACCAGAGCTGTGACAGGAGCTCCAACCATGTTGGCCAGAAAACCACCCAGAGTCCTCTGGAAACCATCCGAATCCATTAGCCTTCATCTTAATGGGTCCCCCACCTTTGCATGGGGGGAAGTTGCCATAAGTCTAAACAGGTGGTGATCTGACCATGACAAAGGGACTGAATCAAAGTCCCTCACACTTTGAGCACCATCCTCAGTTCTGGCCAAGAAGACCCAAGTCGAGCGTATGCCCTACCACATGCATGGGGGCAGTCTTGTGGTTGTCATGGCAACCAGTGAATCCTGGGTCACCCCAGATAGGGTGCCCTCAGTGTGAATGTTGACGTCCTGGGGTCAACAGCCTCTGGGTTTCCAACATCATGTCTGAGACCATCTCCGTCATCTCAGGTAGGGAGGCTGATGGGTTGCAGGGTGGGTGGAACAACAGCAGAATCCCCAGTCTGTCCTGCTGTCCCAATACAAGGTGCAAACACTCCAGACTAGTGATCGGCCAGGGTGCCTGAAGAGTGAGTGAGAGCGAGAATTCCTATAGACCATGGAAAGCCCCCTTTCCCGGCCCTCCAGTCTACTTTGATGCTCTACCAAGGACCCATGTGGGCAGAGCTGGGAAAGACTAACCCTACCCTGTTCACCCACCAAGTTCTCCGTTATATATGCCAGATCAGTCACCTTAACCCCTATTAAATCATGCACGAAGGAGGTTTTATTCTGCACTGATCTGACATTTGGAAGCAGCATCTGGAGACCCAAGGGCTGGCTGACATGGCAACCATCAAACCCATTGGTGGGGAAAGGGCCAGCCCTAGCCAGTCCTCCTAATGCCTCTACTACCCATAGCTATGCTAATCTCCCCACTTGGCCTCGGCCGCAGCCCCAGGAATAGGCCCACAAAGGCAAAGGGTGGTAAGGGGCAACAAGAAAGGCACCCTCACCTTCATGGTATCCCAAAGGGGCATTCCAAAGGCCTGCTTTTATGCCAAGCCTTTGGAGCAGGAGTGGCCAGCTTCAGAAAGTTTGAAGGGCATATATGGCTCATGGACCCCTCCTCCTCACAAGCCACAGCTCTACACGCCTCTCCAGCACAGGAAAAGTAAAATAATTGAAAATGGTGTCCAGAATGCCAGAGGCTGCTTCATGCTCTGTAGTAGCTCCCAAGCACTGAAAGTGTAAAGAGAAAGCATGCAAGGTGAGGGGCCTGAAATGAGATCAAGCTCCACCTCTTAGGTTGAGTAATGCAACAGTTGCTGGGTGTGCGCCTGAGCAAGCTCTGAAGCATCAAGTGGTGGAATCAAGAGACGACAGAACTTAGGAACTATTCAAAGAATTAGAATACATGTCTGCAGGTGTTCTCAAATAGACACAACAAACTAGTGATAAGTAATCCTGTGCACACTGCTTTGGGAGGAAATCCCATTTGAACTTTGACTGATCTTTAGGTGTAGTTTCATCTGGTGAAACATATTAAGCATTTGCTTAATCAAGGCATTTCAGATAGCTTTAATGCAAGCAGTGCAATAAAAGAATTTTAAACTGTTTGTTTCAATTTGCAACTCCGCACCCAAGAGATAGAGAAATAATTGCATCCTGCTCTGATGGATTAATTTCCTTCTTTCACAGTTTGGACTAGTAGTTTTAAAAGCTACGCCCATGACCATAATATTTTTAGAGTGGAATCTCTGCAAGTGCGGATTAGCAAAAATAAGCTCATTCATCCATGCACCTCTCTCAACTAGTTTCAGGCTTGTTCACGTTGCCAAGCATGGAAAGATCTTGGTAATGAAGAGGACGAGGTTTCTCCTCCGAATCTGTCGAATCCCTTAAAACAGAGAGCCCTATGTGGCTTACAAATGTAATAAATGAAATGAAATGTGCAGCCTCATGCTACATAATTAAAAACTAATCCTTATTTCATGATGAATAACCTTTGGTCTACGATGTATCTTAAATAGAAACTATGTTCAGATATTTTTCCCTCAAAAAGCATTTAAAAATCCAATCTACATTTTTTAAAAACCCATTTTTAGTTTTTTTTAAATACTCCTGCATGTAGCATTTTCATCTTGCAACATTTCTTCTGCTGGTAGGGCAGAAGAAGTTGTCAACCAATATATATGCAAAGGCGCAAAAGAACAAAAATAGTTGCTTCAAAGAGGTCTTGGGCTCGCAGACAAAAGGGCAAACTGGAAACTGCTGGGTTCCGGCTCTAACCCTGAGCACCTTTCCCATGCTGATAACATGCACAGGTGCCTAGATCAAGCCTCATTGGTCTCTTTGACTTTTCAGGATGACCACAAACTCAGCCTTGATGAGCTTCATCGAAAATACGGAACGGATCTCAGCCGGGTAAGCTTGACCACGTTTCTGTTCTATGTTGCAAGGATGGAGGACCTGTGGTTGGTTGGTTTGTTTTATTTAAAACTTTTCTATGCCATCCAACTACCACAGTCTTGGGACAGTATAGAAACTATGGTTGCTGTGATGAATAAGAAATTTGTTTATCCTTAATACTTATTCATACTGGGGAAGCTGTTTGTTTCTTCCCCCACTGCATTGTCCCACTCAAAAGCTGCCATTTCCTTCTGACTTCTGGAAGGGCAGTGCACCTTGCTGTCAGATGCCAGTTTGTCAGTCTGCTAAAAATCATGGCTGAGTGTGAACCAATTTGGATTATGCTAGAGGGCTGTACAGGGTGAGGCCTATAGCATACATAACAAAGTGTAAGCCTGATTAAATGATTGCAGCCTTTAATTGGTTTAACTGTATTTTAATTGACCAAAAACCATCTGCAATTAAGCAACTTTTTAAGGTTAAAACAATTAACAGTTATTAAAACTGCTGGTGGCAGACACCCTTAGAATCTTTCTCTTGCACAGTTTCTAGTCTGTTGCTGCAACACAGACATAGACCATCCAAAAATCAAAGTATACTTTTTTTGTCTTCAGAAATAATTGTTTTAGTCATCTGCAAATGTATGCAGACTCAATTTATTTTAATCAGACAACAACTTGATTTGTATTACTAATAAGACAATAAATTAATTAAAATGTCTTTTAGGAAAGACCAGATAAGGGGAAAGACTGACATTACTGGAGTTGCATCTATAACACAACTACCCTATAGTGTAAGGCAGTCTCTCCTGAGTGAGCCAGACTCAGGTTTCTGCCAAGCACAATGCTGTGCCTTACTGTTCTCCTTTCCCATCTCTGCATTTAGGGTCTGACTCCTGCACGGGCTGCAGAGATACTGGCTCGTGATGGCCCCAATACTCTCACCCCTCCTCCCACGACCCCAGAATGGGTGAAATTCTGCAGGCAACTCTTTGGAGGCTTCTCCCTGTTGCTGTGGATAGGAGCGATTCTTTGTTTTCTGGCATACGGTATTCAAGCTGCAACTGAAGAGGAGCCAAATAATGATAATGTGAGTAAATATATGCATAGTGGTTGGGTGCAGAATGGAAAGACCTAGCTTGAAGAGCAGTTTTTACTTGTCTAAATTGTATGGTCCAGTGTAGTTAGCCATGGTTGCCTGCTGTGTGGACAAACTAGTAAGCAAAGGCTTGGAATGGACTGGGGCTGGCAAGGAATGCGAAAGCAAGGTCTTTTGGTTATGTCAGGAGCAAGAAAATGATCCACAAAATAGCAGATCCTCTGCTTAGATGAGACAGTAAATTGTTCTCAGGTAACAGAGAAAATGGAATTCCTATTTAGCTTCATTCTTTTCCCGCAAGAGGAGTTGCATTCAATCTGGATCAAGTAGAATGCATGGAGGGATTTGCAGCCTAGAGTAGCTAAGGACATGGTTAGAAAGTACTTAACTGCTTTAAATGAGCTCAGTTCTACATCTCCAAGTGCCAAAGGAGCCTGCAGGCATTCTTTCAGTCTTTAAAAACTTCTGCAGAACAGGAGAGATGCCAGAAGACTGGGATGCACATATACTGTCTCCATTTTCAAGAAGGGACAAAACGTGAGTCCAGGAAACTACAAACCAGTCATCCTGACATCTGTAGCAAGCAAAATTCTCAAATGGATGTTTAAGCAATCCACCTGTGAACATCTAGAAAGTAATGCACTGATTATTAGGAGTCAACATGGATTTGTTAGGAATGAATCACACCACACCAAACTTATTTTCTTTTTTGATAGAGTTATTTGACTGGTAAATCATGGGAATACTGTGGACATATGATACTTTTATTTCAGCTATGCATTTGACAAGGTTTTCTATTATATTCTGCACATTATGATCAACATCTGAGGCCTTCTTCTGGATGCTGCCACCAAGTGAGGCTTGTAAGGTGGCAACAAGCAAAACAGGCTTTCTAAATGCTGGTTCCATAATTATAGAACAGCTGCTCCACTCTGGCCCAGCTGGTGTCAACATGGTCTTCTGTCCAGATTAAGGCTGACCTCTTCTCCTGAGTATCTAATGGCATGGGATTAATTGGTCATTAATGTTGGCTGGTGTTACTGGGTTTGCTATTTATTGTTTGAGATGTTCAAATTACTCTGTTAGTAGTGAGAACTGTTCCGCAGTGGAACTCATGGCCTTTGCAGGTGGTCTTTCCGTCATTGGAGGCTGGATGGCCATCTCTTAGGGGGGCTGTAGCTGCACCCTGAGGTGAGAGCCTGCATGGAGCAGGAATTTGAACTAGATGATCTCCATGGTCCTTTCCAGCTCTGAGATTCCTTAAGCCTCAGGCATGTAAGCTTTCCCCTCCCTTCTTCTCTTTCCCATGGCAGAGAATAGGTTTGGGAGATACTGTTTCAACTTTTAAACTGAACAGGCTTTCTTATGTCTAAACCCAGAATGATGGTTTGTTCATACTCTTAGTGGCTGCAAAAAGTATCTAAAACCATTATTTGCCCCTCTTTGTTCTCACTAATTGTAGTTTTTCATAATGTCTGACCCAAACCTACATGCAAAACAGGATTGTTTCATTGTTTTCATGTGTCGTATACTGTAAGTCATCTCATGTCTTAGTCTGTGCTATGGACTGTAGTCTGGGCAGGCCGCAGAGAGCATGGCTTCTCCTGCACTTTGGTTGCATGTGACCTTCAGAACAGGCCCGCTTCTCCATCAAGATCTTCATTTTCAATCCCTTAACAAGTTGTCTCAAACTCTTCATCCTGTGGTAATGCGGATCATATTGTGTCCATTCCAACGCTGCTTACAGCCAGTTTTACAACACTAGACTTATAGTTTGATGTCATTGTTACTCAAAAGGCTTATTTAAATTGTATGTAAATACATCTACTTACAGCTGTATCTGGGTGTTGTGTTGGCTGCTGTTGTCATCATAACCGGTTGCTTCTCATACTACCAAGAAGCAAAGAGTTCAAAAATCATGGAGTCCTTCAAGAACATGGTGCCTCAGGTATGTAAGTTCTGCATGTCCAGCTTTTGTGGGAGGATAGGGGAGGATGCTGATGTTGCACAAGTAGGTAAAGGACTTGATCAGGGGCTCAGATGCTCTCAGGTTTCATGTTAAAAGCCTGCTCTTTTCTCTTGCAGCAAGCTCTGGTGATCCGAAATGGGGAGAAGTTGAGCATCAATGCTGAAGGGGTGGTTGTTGGAGACCTAGTGGAAGTGAAGGGAGGAGACAGAATCCCAGCAGACCTGAGGATCATTTCAGCCCACGGCTGTAAGGTATCTGTGTGACAGCAGCAAGACCAAAGGAGCCAGAGTGTCTCTGCAAAGGAGCCAGATGTAGAGAGCGGGCCTGCCTTAGATGGGTTGGTTTGATTCGGAGGAGGAGGTGGAGGAACAAGGAGGGTGAGGACTCGGAAGTTTCAAGGTCACTTAGCAACATCTCAGGCAGGATGTGAGAATCAACCTACCTTGCAAGGGGCGGAAAGCGTTTTTAGGGTGGCAGCGGGAGCAGATGCCTGACCCAATCCTTGACCCAGTAAGAAGGAAACGGGAAATTACCTGCACAGTTAGAAGGTCTTCCCCATTCACACCGTCTTGCCCTCAAGCAGTAAGTGTCACCTAGAGAGGCTTTAATGAAGCTTTGCTAAAAGGGAGGAACAAGGGGGAAATTGCCAGTTTGGATTCAGTTCCTTGCATGGGAAGATGCTTCTCCCTCAACTTTGGTTGAAAGCTATTTAGCGTTCATACTATGCTGCAATCTGTTAAGTTTCAATAAAAGAACTGCACGCAAGGGATTGTCTTGAATTTGATAACCAGAAGGAAAGAGGGAAGTGACCAGCTCATGACACCAGGCTTGCAACAGCTTGCTTGCAAGCTCTTCCAGATGTTTCCTCTGACACAATTGTTTCTGTAGGTGGATAACTCTTCTCTCACGGGTGAATCAGAACCTCAGACGAGGTCTCCAGACTTCACGAATGAAAACCCACTGGAGACCAGAAATATCGCTTTCTTCTCTACCAACTGTGTTGAAGGTAAAACTCAATGTTAATTTAATCAAATGTGTCAGTAGAGCACTGAAGTGTTCAGATCTAGAAGGATGAGCACTAGAAATGAATAAGCCAACTGCTTGACAGGACACCTCTCAGTCAGCACCATAGAGCTGGTGGGTACCCACTTTGATGACAGAAACAGCATAAGGTTCCTTGTGTTTAAATGTGGTAACCTCTAAACAGTGACTTCATTCATTCAGAGGTGCTCGATGAATTGGGGAGCTTAATTCTAGCCATGGCTCTGCCAAAATGGCAGCAGCCTGACCATTTATTATTATTATTATTGTTGTGATTAGCTTGCCATTCAAATTCACGGCACAGATGTGGTATTCTTGTGCTAGAAGGCAACTTGTTCAGGCAGTTGGAGGGAAACGGGCAGAGACAGCTGCCAGCTGTTTGCTGGAAGAATGGGCAGTGGTATTTCTAATACAGCATGTAGTGCAGCTTCAAAAGACAGAAGAGGAAGATATGGCACAGAACCAGAATACTTCCCTTTTAAGAACTTGAGATGGAAATGTGTGTGCTATCATTTTGACAAGAGTTGCAGTATCTTTGGCTTGACTGAGGTAGCTAAAGGACTTGCCTGCATAGACTGAAGTATATACAAAATTATCCTAAAGACAGTTTTACTTCTGTAGATAAATGTTTGTTTTTAACCACAGTCTTTCAACTGTTTCTAGGTACTGCACGTGGTGTAGTCATTAATACTGGTGACCGTACTGTGATGGGCCGTATTGCTTCATTGGCATCTGGACTGGAAGGGGGACAGACACCCATTTCTATAGAGATCGAGCATTTTATCCACATAATTACTGGTGTGGCTGTGTTCCTTGGCGTCTCCTTCTTCATCCTTTCCCTGATCCTGGAGTACACGTGGCTGGAGGCTGTTATCTTTCTTATTGGCATCATTGTGGCCAACGTCCCTGAGGGTCTGCTTGCTACAGTCACAGTAAGTTAATGCAAATTTCTGTGGGTTTGAAGAGGAGTTGCAGTGACTGCTAGCACACACTTTTTAGAAGCCATTTTTCTTCATAGTTTCTCTGTATCACACATGGATGCTGCATCTGCACAGCCTTCATTTGGGAAGATTCTTTTAGCCAAGCCTAGAATTTTTGGTGGAGCCCTGCCTATTTATACTAGGGGAAGGGGGTGAGGCTCCCACCATTTTCCCACTTTGCTTTTGACCACTGTTTTCAGTGTCTCCGGACATTCCTAGCTGCATATTTTCAATACTTACCTCACACTACTTGCTTATTTCTCACAACTTTGCTTCACAATTTTTCCCCTCACAACTATATCTCAACCTTTTACCTCACGTTATGTCTTAAAACCCTTCCTCACCCACTGCTTTGTACCCTTTTCCTTCACCCCTTCCCCTCAAAAAACCACCCTTCTGTTGTTGTCTTCAAATTCCCTTTCTTTTTCACACTTGATGGTTCTCAAGGTGGCCTTCAGGAAGTGTGAGATGCAGAGTGAAAATGCCATCCTTGGATGAACTTTTGCTATGGCTCTTTTACCTTGGTGACAAGCACTGAGTAGATACCTACCCAAACTGCCAGACTTTTACCAAACAAGCCAAGGGAACAAAGCAGGCCGTCTGAAGATGGAGATGTGGACCCCGACTCTTGTGGCAATGTAAACTGTCACAGGAGACCCACAAGAATGCCCATCGACATCTCATGCAGCCCTGTCTGCTATCATGAGGGCTCCACCAACTGCTCCATTGGTTCCTGGAAAATCTAAATGCGCACTGGATGGTAAAAGGCCCAAAAAGCAGGGGGAAGGTCCTCACAAAATGGCAGAAGAACTGGTGAAGGCTACAAAGAAGGGCAAGGAAATGCCTGCAAAAAGGGCCTGATACTGCTCCCCAGCTGCAGTGGAGCAAGCCCATTTGCCTTTCCCACCAGTGGCCCTGGCTGCTGTTTCAGTGCCAACCTCACAACCAGTTCATACTGCTCTGACCACTCTGACCATTCCAAATGGACACAGCCCACTCCTCCTCAGAAGGGGAGACATGGAACTCACCTCCTTGATCTCTAGCTGCTCCGATCACATTGCCAACCTGTCCAGCACACCGCACTGGGACAAGGATATGCAGTGGACTAAGTCCTTCCATGCTACAAGACCGTCCCTCCAGTGCCATCACTGGTGTCTACCCATCGGCCAATGGAATGCCTCAGACCATTGACATCAACCTGGTACCATGGGTAGACACTGGGGACCACTAACCCCACTGTTCCCAGAACAGTACTACACAGGGTACTCCTAAGAACAAGTTCTTTCTGGTCCATATTGCTATGACTAATGGCTATCAACCACTGAGTGACCACAGGAACCGTGGGTGCCAGTACAACAAAGTCATCCACTGGCCTCCACTGATCCGTCTGCGATCCAGTAATGACAAGGACCTGCCTCTGCACGCCAGCCTCCATCACCATAACAACCTTCTTTGGCATCAGCTAGCTCATCCTCATCTGACCCAACTGACTGCATCTCTGAGTCCAACATGATCCCACCTTATGAAGACTCGGTGTCCACCTCTCTGGAAGATGTCATCTCTGCCCAGGTCCTTGGTTCTTCCTCTGAGGACTTGGGGAGGTTCTTGGAACAGCTCCTGCAAATCGTGGCATCCTTCAGTCTTCAATCACAACAGTAAACCAAACCTACACTTGACCTGGTCTACAATGTTGTCTGAATGGAGGTCACGTTTCCAGTAGCCATACAATTCCTACCAATGTTCTTGCAGGCTATGAAGGATCCATGGCAGATACCAAGACAGCCTCTAGTCATCTGGAGAGCATGTATCGAGTCCAGGAGGGGGACATACCATTTCTCCTTCACCAACTAGGATTAAACGCAGTTATTGTGGAGTCAGCTCAGGGATGGTCACAACGGGAGCAGTTCACCTTGATAGATCATGAAAGGCATTGTTTAGATGCAATGCCCAGGAAAAAGTATGTGGTGATGGGACTGGGTCTCCACATATCAAACTATGAGGCCACTGTGAAGCGGTACCAAGTCTTTTGACAGAAAATGGGTGCCCTAGCAAAGTTCCCCCCGAACCAAGATCAGGAGCTCACTAGGGTATTCTAAGCAGAGGCACTCCAGCTGTCCAGCCACTCATCACCACATCGACTGTGACTCCAGGGCACTCAATGCGTACTTTCATATTTCCATCCACCAAGGCTACTGCCACTTCCTAAGGTTCCAAGTTGACACTACTCCTTAAGAATCCTGAGTCCTACCATTCAGACATTCTACAGCCCCAAGAGTATTTATGAAATGTATGGCAGTGGTTTGTGCTTATATTAAGACTGTGGGATGTTCAGATCTTCCCCTACTTGGTTATTAGTCACTCTTCTACAGAAGACCTTTGTGCCATCTAAAAGCTTTGCAATCTGATGCAAAAACTCTGTATTTATGAGCAGAAATCTGTTCTTGTCCCGTCAGACAACACCACAGCAACATTTTATCTAAACAAACAGGGTGGCACTTAATCTGCCTTGCTGGCCCAACTCATGATCTGGATATGGGACTGATGCATCCAGAGGAACGTAACATTGATGGCTGTCCACTTAGCTGGTAATAAAAGCACCACAGCAGATGCCCTCAGCAGAACACCACACCAAATGCACGAGTGGGAGCTTAATCGAGACACTCTGCTAAACATCTTCACAACATGAGCCAGACCATTTGTAGACCGGTTTGCGGTGCAGAAAAATACTGCATGCAAAGTCTTCTACTCCAGAGCTGGGATTGGCCAGGGCTCTCTTGGGGATGCCTTTCTCATCCCATGCACAGGAACTTTGTTCTGCATGTTCCCACATTTGCTTTGATAAATGGAATAATTGTAAAAATCAGATGGGAAAACACAGAATGCTTTCTGAACCCCATGATGGCCCAGACAAGCCTTCTCCCAACTTTTGAACCAGACTTTTCTTCACCTACCGTACAGACCAGACATCATAACCCAGATTTGGGGCAAGGTCTTACACCCAGACATGAAAATGCTCTAACTAACAGCCTGGAAAGTCAATTGGTATCAGACACTATCAACTTGGATCTTCAAATACAGCTTGTGCTCCGTGCAGCTCTCCAGCCAAACACAGGACACTCATAGTCTGCAAAATGGAAGTGTACACCCAAGAACATGCCTTCATTATGTTCCTAGTGCCAATCCACAAAATTCTGGCCTTCTTCTATAGCCTTCATGTTAAAGGACTAAAACCATCACCCATTAAAGTAGACTTGTCTGTCTTCTCCCATCCTCCCTTTAGACATTTCATAAAAGGACTACAAAATCTGGATCCGCCATCTGTTCCATCATGCCCACTTGGGGCCTATCTGTTACTAACAAAACCACCTTCTGAACCACTCAGCACGGTAGATCTCCAGCTCCTCTCCTGGAAGGATGCATTTCTATTAGCTATTACTTGTGCCCAACAAGCAAGCAAGTTATGCGCTCTATGGATAGACCTCCCATTTCTTACATTTCATAAAGATAAGGCGGTTCTCCAACTCGACCACACATTTCTTCCAGGAGTCTCTTCACAGTTTCATTTCAATCAAGACATTAATGCTATCAGTCTTCTTTCCAGCCCCATCAACTCCCATTGAGTCCACATTGCGCACACACTTGATGTTTGGAGGGCACTAGCCTTGTACAGGTCGCACACCAAATCGACACGCCATGCCAAAGGTGAGCCTCAGTGACTTGCCCGTTGGGTCATATAGACAATTAAATTGGTGTACCGGTTGGCGCACCTACAGTTGCCAGACCAACCCGAAGCACACTCAACAAGAGCTATGACAACATGCGCCCATAGGCCTACATTCAGCTTTCCCCTATAAGACCTCTGCAAGGCAGCAGCCTGATCTATGCCATCAGCGTTTGTAGATGTTCAGGCAAGATAGGACTGCTCCCTTCAGCCTTGCAGTGTTCTCCTCCATTCCCTGATAACAACACCCCCCACCACCCTGCTTGGTAAGATGTTCTGGCCCAGTCTTCAGTTCCGAGGCCAAAATATTGGTCTCCATTTGAACTAGGGAAAATGGTGGGAGCTCTGCCTATTTGCACTAGGTGAAGGGGTGGGACTTCCACCAAAAATTCTAGGCTTAGCTAGGAGAATCTTCTGGAATGACGGCACTGAGCAGGGAAGCACCCATGTGAATGCCCACTCAAAGAACATCAGTTACAGGTAAGCAACCTTACTTTCCTGCCCCTTTTAACAAGTGATGCAAGAAGACAAGATTGCAGTGTGCATGAGCATCCCTCTCCCTGTGTGTGTTGTTCTCTAGGTATGTCTGACCCTAACAGCCAAGCGCATGGCTCGCAAAAATTGTCTCGTGAAGAACTTGGAAGCGGTAGAAACCCTAGGCTCCACCTCTACAATCTGCTCTGACAAAACAGGCACCCTGACTCAGAACCGCATGACGGTTGCTCACATGTGGTTTGACAACCAGATCCATGAAGCTGACACTACAGAAAACCAGAGCGGTAAGCTGCCTGATCTTTCCATTAGAGATAATTATGAATTATGAACCTTCTGTGCCTGGTCAAAATATAAGCCAGCATGGCCCCAAGACACCCTGGGTGTTGCCAGAGTTCCTCATTCTGGCCCCAGTGTGGCCAAAGAAAATACATTCATAGAAATTCTAATCCTGACTGAAATGGAGCATGATGGGTGTCTGTCAGCTATATGCTACAGTCTCAGTATAACTGGGATGCCTTTTGTAGACAGACTAAAACATTTTTGGATTGTCTCAGTGCATACTGGGATGTGGGAGTAATAGTCCACGTGTAATATTCTCAGAAGCCTCTGCTTCAGTTACTGCGGAGTGCTGTGATGGGCCAGAACCTGCCAACATTCACTTTAGTGTCGTGTGGTGCAGCTGCTAATTCTCAAATCCTTTAAATGTCGGCAGGGAATTGTTCACAGTAGCAGTGGGCATGAGTTTCTGCTTCCTGTCAAACAAGGGAGTAGAGCAAAACAAGCGAATCCAGGTTTGATTCTGAACATGGAACTCTGTTGCTTTTCCCCAAGGTGCCTCTTTTGACAAGACATCTCCCACATGGGCTGCTTTAGCCAGAGTCGCAGGACTTTGCAACCGGGCAGTGTTTCAGGCTAACCAAGAAAATGTTCCCATTCTGAAGGTGAGCTACTGTATGACTAAGTTACCAGAGCTGCCCATCTACCTAGCATATCTTGACCGTTTGGTCGAGTGTGAAGCATTGCAAGAAGAAAGCCACATGGGGAAAAACAGGCCTTTGCTGATGGCAAAGGCAGTGCAGCTAATTCACCCTCTGCCTTCCCACAAATAACACAGTAGAAAACATGCTAGAGGAGTGAATATGTGTATTCCAGTAGTAAAAGAGCCTTGTATGAGCTGAGGAGGCTTGTAGAACTTGTGCTCATCAAACTGATCACAAGCCAGCTGCCATGGAGCATCTTCAGATTGTCTTTCGTAGGCGAGCAGCAAAGTCAGGGCATACATGGCTGCTTGACTGCATTAAATTGGTGGGTTGGCAATTCTGCAGACTTGGCCTTAAGCATAAAAGCAGAAATTGAATGTAAATCAGTTGTACATGAAACACTGTATACACATGACTTCTAAGTCACTAGCACATGAATTGCTCTTTGACTTACTCCCCAGTATATTTAATTCATCTCCATGATGAACAACATTTTATACTTAATATATTGTTGCACTGTTGCAGATTTATTTGTTTATGTGGATTTCCTCCTAAAATATGCTTATTTTTGCCTGGAAAGAAGTGATGAGGCAGATTTATCTTCAAAAGTTTTAACGTATTAGTTATTTCATTTCTGTATCGCTCCATTAGTCAAAGCTCTCTGGGCCATTTCTGGCAGTATATAAAACAAAACAATAAAATACAATACAAATAACAAACAGTAATGTTGAAAGAACTTAAAATTAATTTCAGATAGCTTAAAGTATGGTGAAAATTCAATAAAAAGACCCAGCAAGAAGAAAAATCAGGATAATCCCCTTAGGCCCCTGGAGATCCCTAAAGACTTCCACGTAGAGGGCTGCCTTGACCTGGTGTTGAAAAGATCGCAAATTTTGGCACCAGGCAGGCCATAGCAGGGAGGTTGTTCCAAAGATGGAGGTGTGGGCACCATTCGGATTCTTACTCTGAATCACTGTTGTGTTTGTTAGAGGGCAGTGGCAGGTGATGCCTCTGAATCAGCACTCCTGAAATGCATTGAACTCTGCTGTGGATCTGTCAAGGACCTGAGGGAGAAGAACCCCAAGGTGGTGGAGATACCATTCAACTCTACCAACAAATACCAAGTAAGACATGTGTGCTGTGCTTTGCATTAATATACTTCTCATCTTTCATATTGGGCTAGTTCGGTTTTTGTTTTATCCTGATGGATTTGCATTCCCTGCCAGTCTAATTCTTACTTTGTGTGTCAGAACTTTGGGGGTGGGTGAAGGCTGAGTAAAAATTTCAGTGAGCATTCCACTCCAGCCATATATATAGATGGAACGTCATCCAAAAAACATGTTTTCTAACGTTATTCAAAAAATGCAGCTGTCAATCCACAAGAATGCAAACCCAGCAGAATCACGGTACCTGCTTGTGATGAAAGGAGCCCCAGAGAGAATCCTAGACCGCTGCAGCACCATCCTGATCCACGGAAAAGAGCAACCCTTAGACGAAGAGGCCAGAGAAGCATTTCAGAATGCCTACCTTGAATTAGGTGGCCTGGGAGAGAGAGTACTGGGTAAGAGGAAAACTGTTGGACTAGTTTTTTTTGTTAATGTACATGCTTGATAGACAAGCAAGGAGCACAGCCAAGAAGTTACCTGATATGCTTGCAGAAAAATGAGCTAAGTGGAGCAATATAAGTTGGGTTCAGTCGTTTTTCACACTCTGTAACTTAAAGAAAATGTTGCTAAGGATTTCTCATAACATTCTAACCTTCACTGCAGTCTCATGAATCATACTTTCCATTGGCTTCTCAGTGTCAACTTCTCCAGGGTCTTCACAAATGTAGCTGTGCAGCTTCACAATCAAAATAGTCCCACTGAGCAACTCTTCCCTAATACATGAGATAATTTGGATTGTATGTGTTGCAGGCTTTTGCCACTTGGCCCTGCCAGACGAACATTTCCCCGAAGGCTTCCAGTTTGATACAGATGATGTAAACTTCCCAGTGGACAAGCTCTGTTTTGTTGGATTGATTTCTATGATTGACCCTCCTCGTGCTGCTGTGCCTGATGCTGTTGGCAAATGCAGAAGTGCTGGAATAAAGGTAACACTGCTGTACCAGCCCAGCCCTCCAAACATTCAGCCTGAGCTATCTGTGATTGTTGTACTGAGGAATAAAAGGAAGCCACTGAATTTCAAGGTTTGCCTGCAAGGGACGTGGCAGCAGCCAAGATGCAGAGACCAGCAAAAGCTGTAAGCTGCTTTTTCTTCTCAGAAGGAAGCCACACAGATAATCTTGATGCTCTGTCTCCCTTGGATCTAATGCACAGCAATGACAACTCTTCTGTCTCCACCCAAGGGCAAGTGGCACTTTGAAAAGTCAGGTGCAGCTTCCACTACTGCAGACTGATGTGGCTTTGTTTTACCTTGCAGGTTATTATGGTGACGGGAGACCATCCCATCACGGCTAAAGCCATTGCCAAAGGAGTTGGCATCATTTCTGAGGGCAACGAGACTGTGGAAGATATTGCTCTTCGCCTTAACATTCCTGTCAACCAGGTCAACCCCAGGTACAGAGAAGCAGCATTGTGACTCAAATCAGAAAGTGGGGCTTGTCTAGGTGATTGGGGGAGCCTGTTACTTCTCTGCTAAATTCTAACATTTAGCAGCAGTTGGAAGATGCTATCCAGGTAAAGAGAAGACAGGAACAAACCAAGCTTGTGTAAATGGTGTGCTTCTGTTTGAGAGCTGGCTGCATCCATTTTGCTCAATCATTTTTCAGTGGACAGCCCCCTAAGTTCACGTTTCTTGAGCTTTTCAGCAGCCTTCACTGTCTGAGAGTCTGAAATAACAGCAGGCACTCCATCTTTGTTGCCCTACAAGAAGGAAGTGCGCCTCCATTGAGGTGAAGAGTTGGAGTAATATTCTTCAGTTCTCAAGCCACCTTCTTTCAAATTTCAGGGATGCAAAAGCATGTGTGATTCATGGCTCTGACTTGAAGGACATGAGCAGTGAGCAGCTAGACGATATCCTGAAGCATCATACAGAAATAGTCTTTGCCAGAACTTCTCCTCAGCAGAAGCTTATCATTGTGGAAGGCTGCCAACGGCAGGTAAGCAGAGGGATCCCTGCAATGTGATAGAGCTGTGGCAGAGATGTTGGAGCACATCTAGCGCAAGCCACTGCTCAGACACAGCATCTGCAATGCAACTGTATTTTCCTTTGCAGATGGGTGTTTGGCCTCTGCCTGAGTAACTCCAATCAGGGCAGTCTCTTCACTGTCCAGCAGCTCCTACCATTCTGACATTTCTCTTAACATTTAGCCAAAACCTGCTTCTCTGCTGCATCCAAGCATTTGGAATATGCAGTTTTCACTAGCAAGATGATAACTATGCAGTACACAACTGGACTGTCTAGACATGGTTTATTTCTGCATTTATCTGCATTAGTACTTGATGCATCACTGCTCTGCAGTTCTGTATCAAGCCTTATCTAGTCTACTTCAGTTTGCTTGGACTGGTAACATCCCCCTAGCTCTTCCCTCCATGATGTGTGAGATTGTCTAGCTGCTGGTGTAACTTGGAACATCTGCATACAAATGAAGCACTCTGACAGTGAGCTTTGGTTCTTCTATGGAGAGGAATAGAGGGCTTTGGCACATTGTGCAGTTTGTAGCTGCTATGCAGGTACAGAGTCAGACTTAAAGCTAATGGGTGCAGGTGGTGGGACTGAATCCACTGGGGAAGGAAAGAGCTATTTCAGACTGCCTGAGTAACATGCACAAACCAGCTTCTCTTTTCCTTCCTCTCTTCTTTCCAGGGTGCTATTGTAGCTGTCACAGGTGATGGTGTGAATGATTCTCCTGCTCTGAAGAAGGCAGACATTGGGGTTGCTATGGGTATTGCTGGGTCAGATGTCTCCAAACAAGCAGCTGACATGATTCTGCTGGATGACAACTTTGCCTCTATTGTTACTGGGGTTGAAGAGGGTGAGTTCCCATTTCCTCTTGGTCACATTGGTGTTCCCAGAATACCAAGGAGAAAATTGCTTCTGTTTCCTTCCCTACTCTCTATGACAGATTGTAGGTGTCCATTAACTTTTTGTGTGTAAATCTGCACACACGCATATCCATACATATGGAAAGCATCCTGGTTCAGTCCTTAGAAACTAATGTTGTCTACTATAGAACATCAACATTTAGTTAGTACCTATTCCCTGCATTTAATTTATTTGAAATTTCATCTGGCTTAAATATGCTTTGCTTTAATGATTTCTTTCCTTTCAATATCAGTCTGGACTGACAGATTGACTGATTTGTATGGAAAGTAGAAAGTGAGGGTTGGCCTTGCATATGTGGTAGTCTATCCTCATGTCACAGAAATCTTAGTGGGTTTTTATTTCTTTAAAAAGAGTGTTCTTTTCTCTTAGGTCGTCTGATTTTTGATAACCTGAAGAAATCAATTGCTTATACCTTGACCAGTAACATCCCTGAGATCACACCTTTCCTCATCTTTATAATTGCCAACATCCCTCTACCACTTGGGACAGTCACCATCTTGTGCATCGACTTGGGCACTGACATGGTTAGTAAGGCAATCTAGAGGTTTTTATTTCTATGCTAACTTAATTGCCCAGGCGTCCCCTGAAGCCTGAGGCACGTGTGTTCAAGGTTCTTCAAGTGCTTGCTGGGCAACCAAGTTTTTCTCTCTTGTTGAGGGGGTAGCAGTGGAGACGTCAGGAAATGCAGCATGTGGGTGGTATCTGATCATACAACATCTCTTTCCCATTTGAAAGGTTCCTGCCATCTCTCTGGCATATGAGCAAGCAGAAAGTGACATCATGAAGCGACAGCCCAGGAATCCCAAGACAGACAAACTCGTAAATGAAAGGCTAATCAGCATGGCTTATGGGCAGATTGGTAAGTGTACACACACCTCTCTTCAGTGAACAGATGTGGGTGTGTTAGAACTGGGAATTTTGCCTGCTATGTTGGGGAGGCCAGCCTTTTAAAACATGCGGGCTACATTCCTTCAAGGGAAGGTAGACTTGGGTGGAGCAAAAGCCAAAAGTGAGCATAAATACACCTTTCTATCTATTCACCCCCCCCCCCAAGTTCACATATATCCATATGCTCACTCACTCATGCACAGTCATTTATACCTCCTCCTCCTTTTCCTCCCCAGTAACTGTAGAAAAAAGATTGTTCCTATGCCTTACAGTGCTGCAATTTTCAAAGAGTTGCCGGTGCAGAGGGAGGGGAGAGGTTCCATTTTGCAGACACAGAAGGCCTTGAGTCCAGTCCTTGGCATTTCTATGTGGGGGGGCAGGGGAGAAGCCCCAACCTAAAATGTAGGCGACTGCTGCTGCCAGTCAGCATGGAAAGCCATAGGCTAGTAGACCAGTGCTCTTACTTGGTGTAAGGCAGTTTCCTTTGTTCCCACATATTGGGCCCACCCAACACATTGGTTTAGTGTCGGTCTCGCTGCTATCAGGGAAGCGTGGGTCCTTTACATAGCATTCTGGAGGCATTTTTCCAGCCCGTGAGGTTCAGCACAGCTGCTCTTCTCCTCATCTTGGGCCTGCTGTGCCGAACCTCAGAGATACTCAGAAAGTAGCATAAAGAGTGGCCATTTCTCCAGTGATTCTGGGGCTTGGTGCAATTCCAGAGAGAGCCCTTGCCCTTTCTTTGGGTTCTGGAGAAGGTGTGGGCTTTTGCTCTCCTTGGTGTTAAAATGTTGGAACCCTGTTCCAAATATCAGTGGTTTCAGGACTGAAGTTGGCAAGTAGAAGGAACAAGTGGGTCTGGAGGGACACAGTGGCTGAAGAAAGACCAGCGAGGGAGGGGGCGGGCTGGCACTGGAGCAAGGACTTTAAAGAAAGCAGCAAAAGAAGAATGGACAAAGGAAGTGTGTTTTGTACATGATTTCCTGGATGGGGGAGCACACCAGGAGTTTTTACACAATAGGTGTGTGTGAGATCCCCCCTAGCATGTTAGAACGCAGAGCTTGGGAAGTGGGCTGCGTCCTGCATTTCTTTGTGCCACTTCCTGATATGTGTTAAAAGAGCAGCGAGATGCTGTGACCTGAGAATTGACAGGGAGGGGAGGAAGCAAAGGCCTAAAGGAACAGGGGCACAGGAGGGCATAGTTAATGAAGTGAGAGGCCAAACAGGTTGCTGGAATAGCCAGAATTCCTATGTGGGAGCTCAGGAGGGGCAGGCTTGTGGGCTCTTTGTAGGAAGGGAGCAGACAGGCAAGGTATCAAGGAAGCATAAGAACAAGTGGCTCTGGCAGTTTAGGTCTCTAGCAGGTGGGTCCTGGAATGGCCATCTTGTGTCCTGCTTCCAGTATCAGTTACTTTGCAGTAGCCTAATAGAACTATAATGTTTCTGACTGACTGCTGATCTCCAATTACCATACGGTTGAGGAATGCCAATTTAGGAGCAGTTTGTTTCACTGCAAATGCATCTTCCAGCACACAGGAGGAGGCAAGTAGGCTTGGCTGCAATTCAGAAGGTGTGCAGGTTTGTGTGTTATTGCTACATGCTGGAGGAGTACAAGCAATCCCTCAGCTGAGAGCGGGGAATAGCTGATACCGTACCCTTGATGTGCTCTAGTGCAATGGATCGCCACAAAAAAGGCTTACTAGAAATCCGACTACAGCTCCTGTCAGCGGTAGCAGGGAGAGAGCTGGGGCAGACATGTCTTCAGCTGCTTACCTTTACAGGGTCAGCTGAAACACAAAAGTAGCCTCTTGACGGAGTATGAATGTGTATGATTCAAACCTATCTTCTAGCACATATTCAAGGTGAACAAACATTTTCCCCACTTTAGGAATGATTCAAGCACTGGGAGGCTTCTTCACGTATTTTGTGATCCTGGCAGAAAATGGCTTCTTGCCATCATCCTTGTTAGGGATTAGAGTGGCATGGGATGACCGATGGATTAATGATGTGGAAGACAGTTACGGACAACAGTGGGTGAGTTTTGTAGTCACCTAAGTTAACCATTGCAAAGCACTTTAGCCCTATCCTGAAGGTTTTCGGGCAAAAAGAAGCAAACATTAAACCCTTCCTACTTGCTTTCTTTTTCTTAAACTTGCAGACATATGAGCAAAGGAAAATCGTGGAATTCACTTGTCACACATCCTTCTTTGTCAGCATTGTGGTGGTGCAGTGGGCAGACTTGGTTATCTGTAAGACCAGAAGGAATTCTGTCTTTCAGCAAGGAATGAAGTGAGTGGTAGTTTGTCATTCCCTTCCTAAATTGCCTTTGATCCTCCTGGGGGGAAAGCCAAACAGCTGCAATGAAAATGAATGGGCATTCAGATGCTAGAGGTAGTACTTGTGAGGTTTCATGTGAGATGGGGCTGTGCTGCCAGCAACTGTTGTGGGGAAGTGCTTAAGGTCCCAAAAGCTTGTGCTGGCTTCCCACCAGGGAATTCAGAGTAGAGAAGGAAGGTGATTTCCTTCTGGGGATAAGACTTGTTCATTCTTCCATAGGAACAAGATCCTGATATTTGGTCTCTTTGAAGAGACTGCCCTAGCTGCCTTCCTGTCTTACTGCCCTGGAATGGATGTTGCCTTGAGGATGTATCCTCTCAAGTAAGTATGAAGTTGTTGGCTGTCCTGAAATTGATCATTCTTCCTCTGCTGTTGTGGCTGCATAATCTCTACCTCTCAAGTTCTTGAATTCTCTTTCACAGTATGAAGCCGGGCTTACCCTAGGTTGTCTTTTAGTGCTTGCTTTTGAAAACACCAGGCTCTTGCTAAACGGTGGTTACTCCTTACAATAACAGACTGCCACTGAATTTCTTACCTTACAGGCCGACTTGGTGGTTCTGTGCCTTCCCCTACTCTCTTCTCATCTTTGTGTATGATGAAGTAAGAAAACTCATTCTTAGACGTAGCCCAGGAGGTAAGAGTCTATCGTTAATAGCGTTCTTGGAGGTTGTCCCTATATTGTGGTGGTCTACAAGCCCCCCTGCTATCCATTCTGTGGCACACAAGTCTCAGCTAAAATAGCCTTGGGTGTGGTGAATATGGCAGGGCCATGGCTACAGTTAGCATCTTTCATTTAGAGGGTTAATTGGATTGCCATAGATCCTGCTGCTAAGATGGGGGGGAAAACTCAGGGTCTGTGGCCTGGAGCATAGTCGTGAGAGTTAGTAAATATGCAGTATAAATTGCTCAATATGTATCTCATTTTCCCCATGTAGGCTGGGTGGAAAAGGAAACCTACTACTAAACAGTAGTAGTTGGACCAGATTTGGTTGAACTTTGAAACCTTCTTCACCGTGTGAGCTTCTAGAATGCAGGAAGACTTTTGAACCCTTTTTAAAAGGAAGTGAAGAAAGCTAGAAGATCCATGGAAAGGGAGGGGAGATGAAAAAATGGAGTCATTTTTAATGTGCCTCTTAGATTTTTTTGTAAAAAAAACAACAACAGCATTTTATATTTGGACTTTTACAAATAAAGGTGGAACAGCAAGAGGATTTTTGTTTTGCTTATGGTGTTTATGCTCGTGTATGCACGTGTGCCAAACTATTGGGGGCCCATAGAAGGAAATGTTGCAGGAATCTTACTGAAAAGGGGCTTCAGCCAGATGAAGCCAGAGGCAAGGTGGGCCATAGTCACTCAGCTGCCTAAAGCTTCTTCCACAGAAGTGGACTTCACAGGAAGCTTTTCTGACATAGTATGGCCTGCCTTGGTGTATAAGATTATATGCATTTTGGAATCAAGTAGTACTACCCATGTATCAAGATTTATGGTCCTCCAAATATCAGCATGTTAATTGCTTTTTTAGAAGGGGTATACCGTAGATTCCCTCTTAAATGAACATCAGAATTTGATGGATATGGCAGGTGTAATTGCCTAGTAAGGAGCAACTATACTCACAAATTTCATCCGAATTTGATGCACAGAAAAAATGGCTACTCATTGATTTCCAGTGAAGATCAAAATGAGGCCTGAAGATTTGAATTTCTGAACAGAGGTTTTGAACAGAATCTAATCAGGCACCTTCTGAATTATTCTGAGCCAAATTGGGCTGTTTTCTAATTTGTAAACAACAGTCGAAACCCATTTTGTGATTAGTGTGAGCAACTACGAGTTGATGTTCCTTCTGGGCAGGAGACACTGTTGGAGACAAGGAAGCTCCTGGAAATCTTGCAGAAACTCTTCCACATTGTATGAGAAAATCCTGTTTCCTTCATGGATAGGAGCTGTGGAGATGTGGATGTTTTAAAAATGGAGTATTGGAATGGAGATTGTCCTGCAATTCCCCTTTCTCACTTGCATACTGAAGTAGAAACCACTGTCTTGACTGCTGAAGTTGAGAGGCATGGTCATCCTGGAAATCATACTCTTTGACAAAGCCTTCCCCTTGATCTGCAATTGTTGCTTAAGAATCTCTTCCAGTGTTTAGTCCGGGCAGAGTATGCTGCAACACACCCCTCTCTGCTGATTCTCTGATTTAGAGAACTGGCCAGCTGCATTCTAATAGATAGTTGTGCCCTTTGCAACTTTACTTAAAAGGGGAATCTTGGGGGACAGATAATGGGTCATATCCCCCAGATACTTTTCCCTAAGAAAGTAACGTAAGGCATATCTTGACTTTTAAGACTTTTATTTCTCTGGGAGTTATAATGTCATGTGCTAAATTAATCAAATACACCTTGGTTTGCAGTTGTCTTTTAATATTTGCACATTAGGAGTTATATTCACATTCTCATCAAGCAGATAGACATGAACAGAGTTCTTAGATATGTGAAAAGATTGCCATCTGGGATAGATTAAAAAGAGTTGCCATCCTAAATATTACAGTTGTGACAAAGGATGTTGTTACTCCTGATGCAGAATTCCAACATACCTGTGTTAAACCAGTAAAACATTTGTTAGGTGTATCCTTTAGAGATGATATTTTATATGAAGAGTTGCTTCATCCCACACTTTCCTATGGAAGAAATGCTTCTGCTTACATCTGGTGGCAGTGCAACTCTGTTAAACCATGACGACAGGATATTTCCCAAGCTACAAAGGTTGTGCTCGGAGCACCAACTGTCTGCCTGACAGGACTTGTGGGCAATTCATGAGGGAACACACAAAGGAATATTACTGCCTCTATTAAATGGAAGAGCAGGGAACTGCTCTGCTTGGGGCTGTGTGCAGGGGATGTGGAAAAGAACCCCTGTGAACAAAATCACTAGTTACAAACTTGGGCAAGCAGAAGTGATTCAGCAGAGATACTTAAGAGAAATTGGTCAACGTTTTGCTGTACTGGAATCAATATGGATTGTGTTAACCATAGATACCCTAAGTAAACCATAAGATAGGATTATAAACGTATAAGGAAAATATTACATGAAATATTCCACTAATGAAATGAATACTTTCAAGCATTTGATTCTGTTCCATATAATCATGTAACACTGTAAATTCTAACTTGTGTGTAAGAAATGAAATTTAAAAGTTGCCTTTCTGTATTTAAAAAAAATTAAGACACTGCAGTGGACTCCAGGGGAGCAAGCAGTAAAGTTATGCAGAGTTCAAGAAAGCCAGCCCTTCAGCTAAGCTTAAAACTTCCTTAATGCTCCTTGGCAACTCACCCTCACCAGGAAGTCGGCTCCTCCATCCTGCACTTATTGAAGCTTCTAAACTACCTCCCATGGAAACAAAAAGGGATTAAAGGAATGGCAGCTAATAATGCCCAACTCAAATTCAGGCCCTTGGCAGATAACACCTGCTTCGTGGTTAACTTAAGTCCACCTTTTCTTGCAGGCAACCTTTGGGCAACATTGAGGGTAAAGGGCCTCCAACAAACATGCACTACCCGTCTAAGGTTAAGTGCAAACTTGTTTCTCTCCTGACCTGTGTGTAGTACTTACCTTACAACAAACACAATTCCCCCTTCTTAGAATCTGATCTCTGTGGTGGCACTGGAGCTCTTGAATTACTAAGCCCTGTCGGGTTGAGTTTCCAAGCCACCTTGAGCTACCTTGTGAATTACCCTCACCAGTTTTGAGATGGCCCTCTGAGCAAAAGAAGAGTCGGTTCTGCACGGCCGTTCTGCTTGCAGCTGGCCGTTTTTCTTTCTCTGCTGGTGGTGATCCATCCCACACCAAGTGAGCACAATGTACCATTTTTCCAAGCTTTGCAAACCTGCAGCAAATGAGTTGAAAAGTGCCTTATTCTCACAGTATAGCCAGTAGCCAACAGGCCTGCTTGCCATGAGTACTTCAGTGGCAGGGTGTCTTAAGAGGCTGAAGGATGCAGTTTTGTGCATTTTTTAAATATTGCATCTTTACTCATCTGCACAGGGACTGACCTGTTTGTCCTATGATGTGTGCCTCATCATCGAATTGTTGGCAAATGGTGCCATGCATTCATGCTCCCTAGATAACAGTCTGACCACCACTTATTTTAAGCTGGCCATCTTGAACCAACTAATTTCAAAGACAGATTTCTACATGAAATACTTGAGCTGCAATTCATCAAGAGGTTAACTCTTCTCTCTGGTGGCTTAAATAGGATCAAAGATTCCAGTCAGCTCACCAGTGCAAGAGGGCCACAATTGTTTTGTGAATGGCCATTGCAAATAGGATTATTACCCATGGCTGTACTTTCAACATTCAGTTTCCTTTGACCTTACTGTTGACAAAACCTTCCCCCCCTTCCAAGCCATTCCATGATAACAGTTCATGCATCTGATGAAGTGGACTGAAGTCCAAGAAAGTGTATGCCATAATAAATTTGCAAATCTTTTTGCATTAACAGCTACCGCTGTGCAAATTATTTTAAATAGTACCTAGTATTATCCATAAGATACGTGGTCATATCGTTTATCCACATTCTCAGCTGCTGCTGCTTCACAAATTTAGGAGTAAACTTAAAAGCATTTTGTAATCATTTTACATAAGATAAGGCCACAATTCTGTGCACACTTTGAATGAAATTAGAATGTACTTTGGGGCAAACATGCATAGTATGGGGTTGTAAGATTTGCTACTACTGACATTTAATTTGGTTTGCTTATTGTTTGATGCTTCTTTCTATGTCCATAGGCAATTACTTTCCTCTGGAATAGATACTGAGGTTAGAGCACTTTTGAAAACATTTAAATCAAAATTCTGCACCATGAAAAGCTGGATTCTTGCTTGTATTTATTATGCAAGTTAAACAAATTTGTACAGAGCTATTTATTTTGCATAACAAATCTTGCTTCTTTTCTTGAAAAGGATTGAGAAGTTAATTATACAGTACACTAAAAACTACCAAACCTTCCAGTGAGTCCCTGTCAGCTTTCATGACTTAATTTCCCAGACACTTTCAAGCCTATCTTTATAGGTTTATGATAAGCCCTTTTTAAAAACAAACTAAAAATGGTAGGGAAATGGTCAGGACAGTGAAGTGCATGTACTGCACAAGAAGCTGGCCATTTAAATGTAAGTGTCTTGCTCATCAGCGATGGCATGTATTTTGTTATTTGAAAGCACGTACTGCTCTGCGCCCACCTTTCTGAAAGAAAGTATAATTGGCTTTCAATGCATCTGATAGGCGCTTGCAAAGCCCTCCTCCTGACAAGAACAATGAACATACTCGACAGACGATTCCAGCCCCGCAGTGACCCTCCCGCAGCCATCAGCTCATAAACCTTTGCGACCCTTAAATCCCTTTGCCTGGTGGCAACCGTGCCTTGTGTAATTGCGAAGCAGGAAACCAAGCCAGCTGGGCTCTGCTGGGTCACTGTTGCCCACATGCTCACAGGCAGGCCTTTGTTCCCACTGAGTAGACAAAGAGCTCTGTTCTTTCCTTACCTCAGTCAAGCTGTTCATTGACATGCCACAAGAGTACATTGTAGAAGAATAAATCAATTATGGATCAGATGACTTGGCCTCCTGTTCTGTACCTCCTTCCCCCACAAAGCACCGCTCAGGCTGTGCGCTGAGCTGACAAGCCACAGATCCCATGCCTGACCTCCGCAGAGGAACACAAAGCAAAGCCCTATCTTTTCTGGTTATCACAGCGTACTGCCTGTATGGGACTGCAAGCAGCCAGAGGCAGGTGAGGAACACGGAGCTGATATGCGATTCCCTTTCAGAGTATTGTGTGTCAAACTCTAAACATGTAAAATGTGAATCCAAGCAAAGGAGCCGGCTTGTTTTGCCTACATACTGAGTTTCTTCTCAATCTCAGCAGTCAGATAATCTGCTTCAGCCTTACTGCCCAGGATAGTATCTAGCAAATAATGACCTCTCTTTGGACTGTGGGACCCACGAATCCATGAGAAGCTTACTTTTGCTTTCACTAAACAAGAGGGTGATTCTGCAAGTTGCTGGCAACTGGCTCTTGAGGAGGGCTAGGAGAAGATGGTCAGCTCGCTATTTCCAGACCAAGTGCCATTCTGGAGCTCGAGCAGCAATGAGAGGAGGGGGAAGTAAAGAAATCAGGCTTTTGCAAGATGTTGTGCAGGACGTATTTAAGGGGAATAATATTT